AAAAATGAGCCAGATGTGGTGGCACATGCCTGTGATCCCAGCTACTTGAGAGGCTGAGGTAGGAAAATCTCTTGAACCTGGGAGAAGGAGGTTTCAGTGAGCCAAGATCACACCACTGCATTCCAGCCTGGGCGACAGAGCAAGACTCTCTCTCTCTCAAAAAAAAAAAAAAAAAAAGAATCAAAAAGTTCAAAATCACAAACAACAGAGCCCTGGCATGTCTTCATGTCTTCCCCACCAAATCCCATTCTCCTGAACAACCACTTCCCTTCTTTTATACCAATCCTTGATCCAGTCGGGAAAGGCATTCTCTATTCCAGAAATACAGCTTCATCCTAGAATCTTCAAACTCCCTCCCTGAGTGAAGCCACTATTTTGTGATTCTTGGGATTGTCCTCTTCTTAATCTATTTCTCTACCTAACTCATTTATTTAGCTAATCCATTTATTAACCAGCAAGTCATCTAGGCATAAACATCAAAATATTTCTCTCTTTCTTTCCTTTTCTTCTTTAATTTCTACTTTCGATATTGCAATATTCGCTTGCTTTTTTCTCACTGGATATGAGGTCTTCTAACAACATCCCAGTCAAACTTCACTTCCTTGTTTTTTGTTTTTTGTTTTTTTTTTTTCAGAAGTTCTTCTCAGGATGGTGGGCATAGGTGCATGGATCATGTTCCCCTACCAGTGCTGAGATGTTGGGGGCCAAGAAAATGCATAGGAAAGGATAGGAAAGGCATCGTTCTGGCAGCACTGTCTTTAGGTTTCCAGAGGGAGGGGTTCCCACACTTCTGGTACAGTCTGGTTTCCTTTGATTTCAGTACACAGTGTGTGTAGTTTTTTGGACAGTGTGACCATCAGTGTCACCTTGCCTGTCTCTATCATGAGGTGCTCACAGGACTTAAATAGCTCCCAGGTTCAAATTCTTTTGATGGTTAGATATCCCATTACTTGACACATTGATCCCTTGGAGAAAATCTCATTATTTCAACCCTTCTGCCAACCACTGGCTTATTTGCATGGAGTCATGAGAGCCTTCAGTCTTCTAAACTTTTAAGTGTCTAAAAGTTCTTAGTCGGGGTGGGGGTTTCTGCCAAATTCTTCCAAAGAATGTGACCCCCCAGTTTCTTTAGGCTCTGCTGGTGCTGGGAGTCTCTCCTCTCCTGGACGCATTATGGATTTTTCAGTATCCACAACTGAAAGCAAGACCTGTGTTCCAGCTAGTGCAGCATGCAGGAGACTATGACTCACAGAAGGCTTGTCACGTAATGGTTGAGAATAGAGAGACTTGGCTTCTAACTTGGCTACATGTCTTAGTAGCTGTATGACTTTAGGCATGTTCTGTCATCCTTCAGAGCCTCTGTTTTCTTACATGAGAAATAAGATTAATGGCCCCTAAAGAGTTGTGTGTGAAGATTAAAAACTTATTCAGGTCAAGCTCTTGCAACTTCTATCAGAAACAGAATAAGCTCTCGATATTTGTACAATATGAATGTGACACAGTGGGTGTGTAAAACTTTTGCAAGGAGTTCTGTGTGATTGGCCTAACATCAGAGGCAAACACAGCAATGGCTTCATGCAGTTTAGTGACTCAAGAGAGTCACACCTCTGCCTCCAAGGAAGACCAGTAAAGGCATTCTCCTCAACTCACCTTCTGGTCTAATCTGCATTTCCTCATTGCTGTTTTCTGATGGTGGTTCTGCTCTTGTTAGTCAGGAAGCACAGACCAGTTACACTCGTGTTACTCCACTATCACTCATCCAGAGCCTCATAAGACTTTCGGGCCCTATAGGCTTTCTTTACAAAATGAACACACCCAAGGGCAGGAGAGGATGCTCTTTCCTTGGTCACTAAGAGGCCTGGGAGTCTTGGGACAGTTTTCAGAACACTTTCATGCAGCTAGAGCCTAGACTTTGAGCTGGGGATAAGAGCATCTCTTGCTAAAGGTAACTTCTGCTGCTCAGAAGCCAGGTATGGGGAACTTCTTTCACTTCTGTGTGTCTAGTCTTAGGGTACCTCTGGGAGTCTTGTCAAAGGGCTTACAAGGGTGTCAAAGGGCTTACAAGGGCTGCTTACAAGGGTGCAAGTTGGTGATCTGTTTACCCACCGTGTAGGAACAACTATTGAGTCAGACATCAAGGATCCTGAGGGAAGGAGGGTTGTGAACAACTGGTTCTCGTTATGGAGGGTCTGTGATATTCTTGGGGACTGTTCTGGTGCCCTAGCCAGAAAGAGGCTGATGACCCCTAATAGTCAAAGCACCTCATGAGGCCCATCAATGGCCATGTGCAGGATACTTACAGATGCCTCCTTGGTTGAAGAATGGAGCAAGACGGACTCAGTGAGGCAGGTTAGCTACCAATTACTTAAGAGTGTTCAGCTTGAAGTCAGGAAAAGTAGAGATTAACCCACTATGTGGAGGGCTAAAATGGAGACACACACACACTCCCTCCTTCCTCTCAACTCATGAGACTCAGAGCACTAGAAGGTGCCTGTGGTGATGTATTGGAATCTCCTAACAATGCCAGATGTGATTAATGGAATGTATGCCAAGACCATCACAGCCTGGAGACATAGGACTATGCCAGCCATAACAGAGATGGGAGCTTCAGTTCAGGGTTTTCTCACCTTGAAATATGCTGTACCCATCATTATTCTCAAATATGCATCTGGGAGAGGCTCTTGAGGCAGTTGTCTTTAAAGAATTTTTACAGTAAAATTGTAGGGGGAGAGGAGAAAATAAGGATAACATTTTTCTTCTCTCCTTTTGTCACATGGCCAGCTGTTGACAAACTCCTTCCCATCATCTGATCTACCTTGTCCTCTTCACAAAAGGCTCTGAAGACATCATGAACCCACATAAGCAGTGAATTGCAAATGAGCTTGGAAATATCTGCAACCGACCTCATCAAAGACAATAGGATGGAAGGACCCCTATCATTTGCTAAGCTATAAATATATTCACTCTTGCTAAAACAGTCAGTTCATGGAAAAAACCACCTTAAACTTCGTATGGAACCAAAAAAGAGCCCACATAGCCAAGACAATCCTGAGCAATAAAAACAAAGCTGGAGGCATCACACTACCTGACTTCAAACCATATTACAAGGCTATAGCAATCAAAACAGCATGGTACTGGTACCAAAACAGAGATATAGACCAATGGAACAGAACAGAGGCCTCGGAAGTAACGCCACACATCTGTGACCATCTGATCTTTGACAAACCTGACAAAAACAAGCAATGGGGAAAGGATTCCCTGTTTAATAAATGGTGTTGGGAAAACTAGTTAGCCATGTGCAGAAAGCTGAAACTGACCCCTTCCCTACACATTATACAAAAATTAATTCCAGATGGATTAAAAATTTAAACATAAGAACTAACACCATAAAAACTCTAGAAGAAAAACTAGGCAATACCATTCGGGACATAGGCATAGGCAAGGACTTCATGACTAAAACACCAAAAGCAGTAGCAACAAAAACCAAAACAGATAATTAGGATTTAATTAAACTTAAGAGCTTCTGCACAGCAAAAGAAACAAACATTAGCATGAACCAGCAACCAACAGAATGGGAAAAAAAATTTTGCAATCTACCCAACCGACAAAGGGCTAATATTCAGAATCTACAAAGAACTTAAACAAATTTACAAGGTAAAAAACAAACCCATCCCAAAGTGGGCAAAGGATATGAACAGACACTTTTCAAAAGAAGACATTTATGCAGCCAACAAACATGTGAAAAAATGTTCATCATCACTGGTCATTAGAGAAATGCAAATCAAAACCACATTGAGATATCATCTCATGCCAGTTAGAATGGCAATCATTAAAAAATCTGGAGAAAACAGTTGCTGGAGAGGATGTGGAGAAATCCTCTTTTACACTGTTAGTGGGAGGGTAAATTAGTTCAACCATTGTGGAAGACAATGTGGCAATTCCTCAAGGATCTAGAAACAGAGATGCCATTTGACCCTGCAATCCCACTACTGGGTATATACCCAAAAGATTATAAATCATTCTATTATAAAGACACACACATGCATATGTTCATTGTGGCACTGTTTACAATAGCAAAGACTTGGGACCAATCCAAATGCCCATCAATGATAGACTGGATAAAGAAAATGTGGCACATGGAATACTATGCAGCCATAAAAAGGATGAGTTCATGTCCTTGGCAGGAACATGGATGAAGTTGGAAACTATCATTCTCAGCAAACTGACACAAGAACAGAAAACCAAACACCACGTGTTCTCACTCATAAGCAGGTGTTGAGCAATGAGAACACATGGACACAGGGAGGGGAACATCACACATTGGGGCCTGTTGGGGAGATTAGGGGAGCTAGGGGAGAGGGAACAGAGGGTGAGGAGATTGGGGAGGGATAACATTAGGAGAAATACCTAATGTAGGTGACGGGGGTGCGGATGTAGCAAACCACCATGGCACGTGTATACCTATGTAACAATCCCGCACAATCTGCACATATACCCAAGCACTTAAAGTATAATAATAATAATAATAATAAACTCAGTTCATAAAACAGCCTTTGAAAATCTCAGGGCATTTAGCTCTTTTGTTGTTATCTGTATTTAGAATTCCTTGTTTATTTTGATAAGAGGACTTTTTTAAAAACAACATACTGATAACTAATTTAAATATTATGGGGTTTTGTTAAAACCTAGATATTTTATCATTTGGCAAAGGACAAGTCACTAATAGCCCTAGAAAAAGGTGAATCTTGGGACTGTGATTGCACATAGATCCTTTCAGATGCTTTGATTCACAAACTAGCCCCTGCCCTATCTCCCCTCTATTTATCTTTATAGCCACTGCTTCTCAGAGCAATAAGACTCTCTCCAGAAACTCAAAAGCCATTAACACCAGGATGCAACTGGAGTCCTGAAGTTGATAACCTCACATGTATTTTGTGCATTTTTGTCATCTGGCAGTGGAGGTAGCACCCAAATCCTATCTTATTCATGATTCTCAAAAGATGATGTGGGTCCTGAGTGGAAATTCTTTAACAGCACCTCCTGTTAGCAGAAGTGTTAAGCCTGGTGAGTGACAGTCAAGCCCACTGTTGTTTCTTGAGTGGATGCCAGCTTCACCAGGAACGAGGCTGAGCTTGCACAAGGCTGGCCCTGGACCTTGCCCACTTCTAGGCACCAGCCCAATGGTCAGAAGAAGGTCAAGTGAGAAATGGCACTATGATTCTTTTTGACAAAGGAAATCCCATATCTAGAAATGACGGTGCAAGGAGTTGACAGCTCCTCTTACCAAAATAAAATATCTTCAGATTAGAAGGGCTTATCCATTCAAGCAACAGCTGACCTTCCCCTTGGAGTTTCTCTCCTTCAGTTTCCAAACATGGCTACCTATGTCCTGAGATTCAAACTCCATGGTCTTTCCACAACCAAACCTACACAGCTTTCCAAGTTGGCATCCGCTTTTCTAATAATGGGGAAATAGTCCTTCCTCCCATCAAAAGGCAGTCCATCTCAGCTTCTTTCCCTTTCTCCAGAACATCAATGTTTGATTTAATTCCTTGCTTCCCTGCAAATTCCACCTTTGTTTACTGGACCCTTTCTATTGCCGTCAGACATGCTGTAATTTAATATCACCAATCTTACTGCTAAAACCTTCTTGATTCCCACATTTTATTCCTATCAACACATTTTCTTATGCCAATCATAGCCAAACTTCATGAGAGCTGGCTGCATAGTTTGCATCTGCTTCACCTCCTAGTCATCCTTACATCCAAACATTCTAATGTCTGGGTTACTCTGACTACTCCCCCAACATCTTATCTCACCCATGACCTTCAAATACTCAAACCAAAAGGATGCTTATTGGTCCCCATTCTATTTGGCCCTCAGCTTATTAGTGTAATGAACCATTTCCTTCTTGAATACTCTACATCTTCTCCTTCTATAAGAACATTCCTTCTCATAAATGTTCATGAGGAACATTGAATGTTCTCAACCAGCCATCATTTACGAACCCTGTAAATGGGTAGTGAGCTGGTCTTATGGATTGATGAATCACCCCTACGCTCATTTACTCTTCCATTTACACTTCAAACACTGATCTCCTCTCTGAATAGCTTATCCACATCCTTTTGAGGTCCTCTCAGAAACCTCTAACTTCATGTATTCTAAGTGGAACTATGCGTCTGTCTTCTCAAAACCATTCATAGTCTCTGTTAGTGGCACTTCCATCCACTTCATTTCCTTGAGCCAGAAATACAGGAGACATCCTTGATTCCTCCTTTCCCTCACTCTCCATCCAATCTATTAGCAAAGACTGATAGGTCTGGGTGCAAAACATGGCTGATTTCTAAGATGACATCATCTCTTACCTGGAGACCACTGCCATTATATTCTCACTGCCTTCCTCTCACTTTATCTGTGTAGCTCCCATCCCATCTCATGCTGTGGCCCATGAGATATGAGCTCCTCACATTTATCTCATGGGCTACATCTTAAGCAAATGACCACGTTTTGCTGCAAGGGTGGTAGGAAATTTTACCTTTATTTTTGGGAAGCAATGTGTCCTGGTAACAACTGGGGTTCTGATAATAAGGAAGAAAAACAAAATGGGTTTGAGGAGGGTGATGGAGGGTCTCTGCCACATAGCTAATGGAAAGAGCCCGTCTGGGAGGAGACTGTCACTATTCCCTGCCTGGGAGGAGTAACTAAGTGTCAGACCAGAAAGACTGAAACTTCACGCTACTTGGAGCCTAACATCTTCTCCATTTTCCTTTGTGTTTCCAGTCACTCTTGATTTAACAGCCTGTAGAGAGACAGAATTTGGTGATGAGAAAAAGGGTAATGTAGTTTACCTGGGAATCAAGGGAAAAGAGCTCCGTCTCTTCTGTGCAGAAATTCAGGGCAAGCCTACTTTGCAGCTTAAGGTGAGTCATTGTGCAGCTAATGAGAGAAGTACCGTCAAATGAACTTTTGATTTCATTTAATATGTTGTTGAATAAAAGTAATATTGTTGCAGTTCTGGATTATTCAAAGTAGGAAAATAATTCTGACTTGGCTTATCCCCAAATCTATAAATGCTACCTTTAGAATGGAGATAACACTTTTTTTAATGTCAGAGCATAGATCCTCTGAAAGATAGCAAACACACAGGAATGTTTCAGAAAAGACAAAGAACAGTACTTTCTCCATTCTCAGTCCTGATTAACTACCTTCTGGAAATCCTCTAAGATGCTCTCACTAAAGCAAAGGCCACTGCACAGCAGAGGAGACAACAAGAGATTGTTAATGTGAATTTTGCAGATTACGTGTTTATGGTCTGTGTACCATAAACACACAAATCTTACCAAGGCAATATCATAGTTATGAACCTAATCCTTCTACTATTGATGAAAGTTGTAATGTATAAGCCCACTTGGGGGTTGAGAATACAGCAAGACTGGCCTGAACCTGCAAATAAATGCATCCCAAGAGCACCAAAAAGACGTTTAAACTTCCCTCTGTTCCAGAGAAGACAATGATGCTTCAAAGAGTCAGAAGCACCTTGTGTCAGAGGATCCTGGGGAGGAGCTAGGCTGTGGAAACCGAGCGAATTCCCTGTTTTAACAGCCTGATGCCCTGCTTTATCTGCCTGTGTCCCGAGCCTCTGTCCCTTCCTTTGGGGGCAGCAGTGACTCTCCTGTTGTACACTCAGGGCTGAGTTACTTTAGCTTCCTCCTCCCACCTTCCTCTCTAACGAGCCTCTTTTCCACCCCTAGGCGAAAAATATATGGACCTGTACATGGAGAACAAAGCAGAGAAGTCCTTTCTCTTTTTCCACAATAAAGAAGGCTCCACCTCTCTCTTTCAGTTAGTCTCTTATCCTGGCTGGTTCACAGCCCCCTCCTCCACAACAGGAGAGCCCATCATTCTAACCTAGAAAACGGGCAAAACTAATAACACTAACTTCTACTTATATTCTGTGAATTAAATCAGCCTAAGCTGAGGGTGGCTAATTCCAGGTTAGAGAATTAAGCTGTCAGAATCATCTTAACAGATCATCATGCAACTGAGTTCACCAGTTCAGCCCATCCATAGCTTACCTCATTCTTACCATCCAAAAGCTACCACCTCCTCCAAACATCCATTTCTGCACCAAGACCCTCACATGAATGTCATTATCCCAGGATAATGACTAAGAATCACTTTCCATCCTTTCTTGATCTTACCCCACCATCCGCTCAGCTACCATGCCCAGTTTAATCAAACCCGCAAATGCTGCTTGATGCAACCATCCATTCCTATTCCTTCTGTGAATCCATGGTGGAGAGATGTGGATCCGTGACATTTTTGTTCATACAATTCTTTCAGTAAAAGAATAGGATGCATTAATTTTTTGCATGTGTATTATAAACATTAGAATATCTACCCCAAAGATAAAGCTAAAGAATGAGATGAATGTGAAAGTTTGCATGTCTTCATAATCATAAGGGATTCTTAACGTCATTAGTTAATAATTTGACACACAGTGTATACACTTAACCTTTGAACAACATGATTTTGAACTGCACAGGTCCACTTAAACACGATTTTTTTTTCAATAAAATTTACACCAAATGTCCCGGCTTCTCATGCTTCCCCCTCTAACTCCTCCATCTCTTCTGCCTCTTCACCCCTGAGACAGCAAAACAACCCCTCCTCTTTCTTCTCCTCAGTCAACGTGAAGATGATGAGCATAAAGACTGTTATGATGATCCACTTCCACTTAATGAATAATAAATATTTTCTCTTCCTTACAAGTTAATAGCATTTTCTTTCCTTTAGCATACTTTATTGTAGGAATACAGTATATAGTATATCTAATATACAAAACATGTGTTAATTGACTGTTTATGTTATTGCCAAGGCTCTGGTCAACAGGAGGTTATTAGTTCATTTATTAGGAAGTCAACAGTTATATGTGAATTTTTTACTGTACTGCTACCCCCATGTTGTTCAAGGGTCAACTGTACTTTGGTTAAGATCAGTTGTTAAACATGGTGAATGTAAATCAATCCATATTTCAAAAAATCATTTATATTGGTTTTAAGTTCTTTCAGACAACTTCTAGAATGGAATGTTTTTGTTTTTACTTTACAATGTATTTGGAAGGAGACGCGTCAGCTATGATATATTGTTATTATTCCTGTTTTCTGGAAATTTTGTAGTATATATTCAATCTACAGTTTCTTTATAGGGATACTTTTAAACCAGTTGTCTATTTTGTAAAGGTTATTTTAATTAAAGTTTGTAATATAATCTGCAAATCCACTAAGACCATGTAGACTGCAATAAATATACTGTAATTTCCTGAGCATGAACACAAGCATAATATGACAAGTAGGTGTATTGGGTCTTGCAATGGATATCTACTGCTAAATTCAAATTTCTCAACCAGGAATAATTTGTCCCAAAACCTATGCCTCTGGCATTATCTCTTATTGCTTCAGTGCCCATGATTCTGTTTGAGACACTCCTTGAACCCCACCTTACATGCTGTTAGCAGAACTTTTCCTCCAGTCATTGCCATGCAACAAGCTTTGAAGAGGTGTAACCCGGCAGTGTATTGTCTCAGCAACATTGAGCATTTCTCTCTTCCTGCTCCAGGGCTCCCAAGATAACTTCCTTCCAGGAAGGAAACTTGCTGGAACCTAAGTTGGAATTCACATGTGCATAAACCTGGACATGAGAGGGAGCTGCTCCATGGGAACCCTTGACCTATGGGAAATGAGAGTGGGTGAGGGGCAATTTCTCTTATCCATTCCACAGGTGGACAATTCTGAAATACATTCAATCTTCATGGTTACTCAGGGAATTCCAGCAGTATTGAGACATAATCACCAATGGCAGGGCTAAGTTCAAGAACACATCCTGAGTTGACTTACCTCATTTCCCTGCTTCCATTTCCCCGGCCTCTCCTTATGTTTCCTAGGGTCACTTGTCATCATCTTGCATGCAAATTCTTGTCTCAGGCTCTGCTTTCTGGTATAAACCTAGGCTAAGACAGATTCTAACCAATTTCTCTTCTTTACTAGCCGCCTCCAACACATTGGATTTCTTCCCTCTCTGTCCCTGCTCATGCCTTTGCACATATCTCAAACACTTCCATTGCTGTGCATCTCACCTGCCTGTATCTTACTAACATCCTAAATCCCTTCCAACTGTTTAGGGGACTCTCCTCATCTTCTCGACCAAAGGCAACATCTTATCTTCTGTGAGGTCCACAGCATTTTTGCCTTCTCATGGGACATTTTTTTTAAGGCTTTGTGCTATAGCTTCTTCTCTTTATCTTGGCCAATTTGCTCTCTTCTCCTCAACCAAATTCTAGGTCCATAGAGGCAGAAATTTGTCTCTTTCATTTATGTACTCCCTTTAGATACCAAATCTTCCCTTCTACATAGCAGTTTCTCAGAATAAGTTGTTGAAGGAAATTAATTTTCATTTCATGTATTAGCATCTTCCCATTGATACCAAAGTATGTCAGGGAGAATCTTGCACTATCATGGCCAGGGAAGCCCTCAACTTCTAGAAGAGTCCAAGGAACTACAAAGCTTCTCAAATAATATGGAGAGGAAAAACATAAAAAGGCTGTTTGAAAGCTTCCCTGTCTCAATTCCTTCTCCTCTTCCCCATATGCCAATATGACCCCAGGGACTGTGACGATACAAGGTCATCCACTCGGGAGGAGATGGCTACTAAACGAAACATAACCAAGAGTGTTCCCAGGAGCTTCTAGCCAGTATCCACTGCCTCCCTCTTGGAGAGCTCAGTGCACAATCTGAGGGTTTGCACTTTGTCCAAGCCTTTCCCCACATGTATTTATGTATATCCACAACTGCAGAGGGGCACAAGAGAAGGAGCCCAGGGAAGTTGACCATTGCAAATGTTTTCTCTGACAAGGTCAGGACTAAGCATAAGATGGCTTCAAGGGTGGCCATGAGAGACTTGCAACAATGAACTTGGATACACAGTGCACAGGTTTTCTGAGAAGGGCTACAAACAACGTGAGTTCTGTAAATAGCTAAATGTAGAAAAAGAATCTATAGGAAGATGGTGATAAAAAAAAAAACACAATGTAATCCTGGGCTGTGCTTATAAATACCAGCTTCCCAGTTATCCTAAGGTCACTGAGCATGAGCAAGAGATAGACAGCAGCCAGCCCACCTTACATCACACCACTTGTGCCCTCTGACAGAGGAGTGAGAACATTGTGGTGGTGAAGGAGGAACAAGATGAGGAGAAACCACAGAAAGACCCAAGAGATGTCCTCAGGTATTTTACTTGCTCTCCTGGATTGAGGGATATGATGTTCTTTGCTTAAATCTAAGAACCACAGTAGAACACATAAGACAACAGATTTCTGTTCAATCAGTATCAGAAGGCACTTTCCAAACAATGTGGGTTTCCTAAACCTTGCAAGGAGGTAGGCTAATTCCTTGTCTATCTGTAGCATGGAAAAAGTAAAGCCAATACACACACACACACACACACACGAAATAGAATATTGATAAATGGAGAAAGAGCATGAGGAGTGTTACTCCCCCTGTTCCAGTCTCTGAAGCACTAGTTACTATGACTTTTTTTTCCCAACCTGTGTGATACTCTAATATTCCAGGAGATGTTGATGCTTTTGTTGCTTTCTTAAGCAAGAGTCATGGTAACTGTCCTCAGACCCAGGACTATTGCATGGTGGGTTTTCAAGGGGTGTTAGAGGGGGAGTTCACCCTTGTGACACTCAAAGACAGTTTATCCCCTGAATCTCTTCCATTGAGAAACCTGAATGCAAGTCCATTTCAGAGATCCCTACACCCTTCCATCCATCCTTTCTTTTCAATTTCTATCAGCATACATACCTGCCTTACCCTTCCCTCAACTTCAGTTTTTTTTATTCTTCAGAAGAGAAAATGTAAAAGGCTCTGTAAGCTTGCAACTGAGAATCTTTGTCTCTCCCTTAGGTCAAGTTTCTTTTAATGTTGTTGATGATCTAATGTGAATTAGGGTCAAGAAAACAACACTTGAGTTATCAATAAGAAAGAAGGTAGAAAAATACGCAGTAAAAGAACTGATCAGTTAACTACCTTATTAGTTTGAGTCACTTACAAGTAGAAGATTTCAGATTACCTTCCAATATCTGATACCAACCATCAAAAGATCAAAAACCATACACTAATGTCCTCTATTGCTTGCACAATTTAGCAGGTTAAATTTTTGCAGATTAAAGCTCTAGTTCTCTAATACCAGTTTTCTCTATGCCTATAATAGCAGTGTGGCCATAATAAAAGCCACAGCTAACTGACTGAGGTCAAAGCCACTAGCAATGGTTTCTCCAAACTCACCATGTGGTTTGAGCCCCAATCAACAAAGCTTGTCTTCATCACAAAGAAGTGTCAAGATCAGTAATTGTACTTATTCAACAAATATGTTTGGAGCACCTACACTGTTCTAAGTTCTGGGGACATAGTAGTAAACAAAAAGGGGAAAATATGGCTATCCTCATGGAACGGACATTAAATTTTGAAGGTTTGCCTCCTTCATTCACATTCGAACATTTAGAAATTACGTTGATGGCAAAATCAAAATCACAGCAGTGCCTTATTATTGTTACAGCTGGGTTAGGGAAGTGAGAGGTGCCTTCTAGTCTTCACCTCAATCTAGACTTTTGGAGCCAAAACCATGCCCACTAACTCTAATTTCACATTCTCCAGCCACTGTAATAATCCATCACTCTTCAGCAGAACCAAGTGAGTAAGGCTGAGTGGAAGGCAAACTCCAAGCTGCTCCAGACAGCCTCACTGTAGAATCTGCCCTCTTAGCCCCTAGTTTAGCAAATATCCACATCTTGCTAAGCCAAGGAGCTACTTCTCCTCTCCTGGAGGTAGAAAGAAGTGGAAGAGTTTCCTT